TCTAGCAGACCACACATTACCCCAGCATATCTTTCCGATTATGTATGCAACTCGGTTTTTTAACAGACATTACTGCTTCCTGTTTTGCCACTTCTATACAGCCCACTATATTGCCCTTTTCTGCTTTGTCTCAAACAAATCAATCTCTCCTTAAAACTATTTCATATACCTCAGAACCTACTTCCTATTCCCAAGCAGTTCTACACCCAGGATGGCAAGAGGCTATGGTCAAAGAATTTGAGGCCTTGGATGCAAATAAGACATGGGAAGTTGTTCTTTTACCTCCCGGAAAGAAATCATTACCATGTAAATGGATATATAAAGTGAATATAGATCTGATGGTTCTTTGGAGAGATACAAAACACGTTTGGTGATTAGAGGAGATATTCAACGGGAAGGGATAGATTTCAATGAGACTTTTTCCCAGTTGTCAAAATGACAACCATCAGATGTCTTCTTGCCATTGCAGCTAAGAAGAAGTGGGAAGTATTTCAATTGGATGTAAATATAGCCTTCTTGCATGGGGATTTGCAAGAGTAAGTCTTTATGAGTATTCCCAGTCAGGGTNAGTGGTATGCCAGGCTTATGGCAGCTTTGAATTTTAAAGGGTATTCTTAGGGGTATCAATGGATATTTAAAAATCGACTAAACCGACCGAACCGTACCGTACTGAACCGATTTTTAGGTTTCTTTTAATAAAATCATAGATTTTTGTATAAATCTATAACTGTACCAATAATTGGGGTAGGTTTTTTAATTTATAAAAATAAACCGAAAAAATATCGAACCGTACCGAATAAATTTACAACGTGAAAAATATATTTATATGTTAAGTTTAAAAAGGGAGAAATTCAAAAATAGCCAGATTTACAAGTAGTCAATCAAAAATAGCCACAGTTTTAAAAGTAATCGAAATTTAGCCACTTTTCAAGTAAAGATAAATCTGAACGAAAACACTGTTGAAAATTCGGAAAATACTCCAGTATAATATACTAGAATTCCAGTATAATATACTGGAACTCCAATATAATATATTGGAGTTCCAATATAATATATTGGACTTCCAGCATATTATTCTGGCGTTCCAGTATAATATACCGGTCCAGCATAATATACTAGAAATTTATACACATGTGCTCCAATCTCTAGTATATTATGCTGAAACTTTCGGCGTGTCGGAGTTCCAGCATAATATACTGGAAGTTCATACACGGGAGCATCGATCTTCAGTATATTATGCTGGAACTTTCCGTGTTGCAGCAAAATAGTGGCTATTTTTCAATGACTTTGCAAATGCTGGCTATTTTTGAATGACCAGTCCAAAAACTGGCTAGCCCGTTCTATTTTTACGTTTAAAAATAATAAAATATTAATTTTTTTCTTGGGCCTTGGAATTATGAAACAGTTACAAGCCAACGGGTAATTAAACTCAAGATTCTAATTTCCAGACCTATTATGTTACTCCTATTGAAACTAAATTATTTCCAGCATATTCACTATAGCAAGACACAAGGTATTGTAGTGATTATGAGTAGCAACCTACAATGTATTGAATGTGTTTCCTTTCGTATGATTTAGATTTATCTTTTTGAAATGTTTAATCTTCTATAGACTTTATTGTTGGATCCCAACTTGAATAATATCTTTCCATTCGTGTGATTATATTTTCTTTGTATTTGCTTAGTTTCGTTTACGTTGGTATAGAATATTTGATGAATCTATACTCTAGCCATCTTTCATATTTTCTTTTTTCATCACCTTTTAAACTATAAAAATATCTAGAGAGTTTTATTAAATCTTATAAAAGTATATATGTTATTGCATTCCACTTTTACTAGTGACTTTTATGTGACATTTAAAAAAATTACCGAACCGTACCGATACCGAAGAGAAACCGACATGATTGGGACGGTTTCGAAACGTCTAATTTTAGTTATACATAATAGAATAACCGAAAAATTGGTATGGTATAAAATTTATAAAATAACCGACCGAACCGAACCATTGACACCCCTAGGTATTCTCATTCACTCAACGACTACTCTTTATTTTTTAAGAAATCAGATGGGAAAGTTACTATTATTGCAGTCTATGTAGATGACATTTTAATAACAGGGGATGGTCTATTAGAGCAACACTATTTGAAAGAATTTCTTGATTGTGAATTCAAGATTAAAGATCTCGGGCAAGCACACTATTTTTTAGGCATGGAAATCATTCGTGAAGAAAAAGGTTTCATTTTGACTCAAAAGAGATTTACCTCAGAACTCTTGATTGAATTTGGGGTCCTTGACCTCAAGCCTACTACATCGCCCGTTGATCCCACTCAAAGACTCAGCCTTCACACTAGAGATTTGATTCCAGACCCGACTTTCTATCGTCGTCTTCTAGGGAAATTGAATTTCCTCACTCACACGCGGAAAGACTTGTCCTTCGCCGTGCAACATTTGAGTCAATTTATGCAGTCTCCACGCCAACCTCACTTGGACGTAGCTTTTCATTGTCTGCGTTATCTCCTCTCAGATCCTGCAATGGGTCTTTTGCTCAACCTTAGTCCCTTACTTCGTCTTCTTGCTTTCTGTGACTCTGACTGGGGACGATGTCCTGACTCTCGTCGTTCTATTAGTGGTTTCTACATTAACCTTGGGGGTTCTCCGGTGTCCTGGAAGTCAAAGAAACTACCTTTAGTTTCTTTGTCCTCTGCTGAAGCAGAGTATAGATCTATGAGACGAGTGGTCGCAGGGGTTACCTGGTTAGTTCGATTGCTCGAAGATCTGTCTATTTCACCTTCTCTGCTGGTTCCGCTGCATTCCAATAGCCAAGCAGCGATTCATATCGCCAAAAATCCAGTATTCCACGAACGTACAAAGCACGTGGAGCTGGATTGTCATTTTGTTCGGCAACAATTTCAAGCAGAGATCATTTCTTTGACTTTTGTCCCTTCGCATCAACAGGTTGTCGATGTCTTCACCAAACATTCCGGTCCGCTTCACCGCTCTATCATCGGCAAGTTGGGTGTTACTTCGTCCCCCTCCAACTTGAGGGGGTATTGGCGTCGAAATTTCCTCCCAATCTCACCAGCATTTTACAGAGAATTTTGGTAAAGAAGATGACTCAACTCAAAGTCGATATGTCCAAAGACCGACCACTTTATCTTCGAAAGACCAAGGTTAATCATGTCCGCTCATTTGTTTTCAATAGAGAACACATCTGGGCCGTTCATTTGAGTAACAGATGAAAAAATATATAAAAAATCTGGAAGCTTCTTTTACCATGTGAGTGTTGTAGGTAAAATGTGTACATATTAATTCTTTTTATATTCTTTCTTAGGATTCTATTAGGTAGTTACACATGGACAAATAGTAGTAGGACACTTGTACCTAGCATAACAGATTTTTATTCCTTTTGCTCAGTATAGATAGTTGTACACAAGATGAATACAATACAACAAGAAAATTCTCATTACACTCTCGTTTCTGATACTAACGTAGGTCGGACAACTAAGCCTAGATTGGAAACGGGTGGGCGTGTCAAGATTTATATGGTTCTGCTGATTAAGATATGTATATTTCGACACTTCACATGGAATATCACTGTCTTGTATAGAACATTGTCTCTTGGAGTCTTGGGATGTAGTTTTTTTGGGTACCAAAGATAAATATTATTAAGTAAACATATGCGTACAGAGATGTTGGTGCCCAGGTTGCACCATATTACAAACTAAGTCATTACTAGTAATAGTTATATTGTTTGTAGCATTCCTAATGGAACTATTACTACAACAACATAAGAAGTTTGATATTATATGGTAGCTGCTCCTTCCATGCACTGTAGGCTGTTGATCTGGCAAAGCCCATGCAGTCAGTGGTAGTGAGCGTACAGTTGTCAAACCTTGCTTATCATCTTCCCAAATTTTTATAACAAAAAAGTGGTGCCTGATCAAAAACATGCATTGTATAGTTCCCTTCCAAAAGCTTCCTGATTTTGCTAGCTGATCTACTGATCTATTTTGTTCTCTGTACACATGGCTAACTATCGGATTACGGAGCTTCCACAACAACTGCCTGTCAATAGATTAGCATAAAGTAAATTGTCACCATGTAGCAGTGTGATTACCTTCTTGGCGTCAATTTCCACATGAATTGGCAGTAGGTTATGTAGTATTGTCAATCTAAGCCCCTGTAACAATGCGTATAATTCTGTCGCAATAGTAGATTGACGTGGTATGTTTCCTGAGAAACCTATAATCCAGTCCCCATTGTGATCTCTAATTATTCCTGCGATACCATTTGTATTCAATTCTGAAGAGTGCGCCCCATCCGTATTTAGTTTATATATGTTAGGTTTTGGTGCTATCCATTTTAGAGGAACCCTGATACGTCGTTGTATTTTATGTTTGAAGCTGCTAGATAACAAAATTCAGTGGCATGTTGTGTAGTAAATTTGACGCTAACAGGTGTATGCATTCCTTCATGTATATTTCTATGTCGAGTGATTCAAATGTTCCACAGGCTTAAAGGCAAATAAGTATGTGGATTAATATTGTATGGTAATTTATAGCCTTTATAGTTAATAAAAGGAAGTAGCCATTCTTGTGGTGTACTTAAGTGAAGTAAATTATTTTATATGTCCTCCCACCCAGTTCATTCCAGTATGTTTTTGCATTAACACAAGTTAGGAACAGATGATTTAATGATTCGTCCGCTTCATGGCAGTATAGACATTCCCATTAGTTATAATGTTTATTTTTTGTAGAAATTAAAATTTTGATAGTCTATTATGGTTAAGTAACAAAATAAAATATTTAATTTTGGGATGTATAGGTAGATTCTATATTCATTTGAATTTAGATATTGTATTGTGGTTGTTGGTAGATTGATTTTTCAAAGGTTTGTACATTGATTTTACTGCAAATTTTCCATTTGTTGTTAAAGCCTAGTAAATACTATCCGCCCTTTTATTGTAAGCGGAGATGTAAGGAGTCCTTATAAGGTTTTTTATATCATCCGTAAGTTGAAAAGGCACCTGGCCCCAATTCCAACCATTAGAATCATAGATAGAATCAATTTTTATTTTTTTGATGTGCTAAAGGTAATGACTCGCTTATTAGTGAACGATAATTATCCCAGCCGTTACCCATGAGTCATCCCAAAAATTAATGTGTGCACCTTATTCCTATCTGCCATTGTAATCCTAGTTGACAGTATTGCCAACTCTTCAGTATGTTACGCTAAGTTGTGGAGTGATTTGTAGATGATGACATGTATAGAAATTATTAATTATACTTTTGCCCAAAGACATTGGGGTGATTGAAAAACTCTCCATGCTAGGCTTGCAAGTAATGCGTTGTTCTTTCAGCGAAGGCAATGAATACCTAAGCCTCCTATTTCTCGAGGTGTAGTAATTTTTCTTCATTTTAAAAGATGTATCTTTTTCTTTGTTGTGGTTGTTCCCCATAGAAAATTGCGTTGGTACTGTTCCATCTTATTAAGAATGCTTGTTAGAATGTGAATGTATTGCATAATATCATTTGGCAGATTATTGAGAGTTGATTTGATTAGAGTAGTCTGTCCTGCCATAGTTAGGAAGTTTATTTTCCATCCTGTTAGTCTAGATTTAAAATTATCTAATAGGAATTGGAAGTCAGCCTTTTTTGGCGTGATTGGAAAATTGGAAATCAATTCACCTCATCAAACAGCTTTTCAAACCTCTCGATCAGCTCCTTGTCGGGATCAACCATACCATTGGGCATTGCTGTTGCTAGGCGCTTCTTAGTACCAGGCCTGACAAAGGAACGGGAAAGGAGGGGAATAGGTTTTGGAAGGGTCCATGCTTTCTTTTTCATCTTTCTAGCTCGCCTTATGTCTACAGCAGTGGGCTTGAAGCCTAAATCAAAAGTATCCAGGTTTCCAGGAAGGGATACCGGCTGGACGATGCCTTGTAAAGAAGCACCCAAGCCTTTTCCAGGTACAAATCCGTTCTTTAGCA